TCCTTGGCTCTGTGGTCGGCATCGGGTGACCACTCCATGTATGGGAACCTCCAATTCCCTCAGCCCGTCCTCGGCTGTGTGGTCAGCATCGGGTGACCACTCCATGTATAGGAAACTCCGTTTCCATCAGCCCGTCTTCGGCTGTATGGTCGGCCTGGATGACCATTACATGGAAGGGAAGAGTCAGGTATGCATTGTGTCCTGGAACTGTGCACCCTGACAATAACGCTCGGTTAGGTCGAGACTGGAGCACCGAGCCTATGCAAATGAGGCATGAACCTTCTAGTCCAGGGCTTACGCCAGGGGAGGTCGAAAGGCCGAAAGGTCAATGACGTGTAGTAGTGGTGACCTGCCGAGCGGAGCAGTGCCTGTAGTTCCAGGATTTTCGTCATGCGTCGATCTTTCGGAACTGCCAGGACGGAGTTGAGCGCCACAAGGTAAGTCATGACGATACTGCCCTTGATACTTACGCTTGTGACGCAGATGGAGCATGAACTCGGCCAGGAATTGAGGCGATGCAGATGTGGGGTTTTGGTGCTTGCCCCTGCAAAAGCTCTCTAAGGATTGCCACTAGTCATATAGAGGCTCCTAGAGGTTGGGCAATGTGCCATCGTGATGGCCTTAGTAGCCAAGTAGCCCTTGCCGTTCAATGCTCTCTGTAAATGGACTAGACGTGAAGACATAACCTGTCTGTTCCTGGGTGTGGCTGTCTCCTATGAGGGTGGATCAGCAGATCTGGCCAATCTGGGAGTGGCAGTGGGTTGACGTCGGACAGCTCTCTGAGGTCGACGAACCAAGCCCTCGCTGGCCACCAGGGCGCGACCAAAGTCAGATCAAGGTTCCGTGTCGGTCTGATCTTCTGGACGACTTTGGGAAGGAGTGTGCACACCATCCCTGTAGGGACGCTTCTACGAAGAGGCGTAGAAAGGTTGTAAGCCCTGTCAAGGAGAAGCCGCCTAAGACATTCGATTCCACCGTCCACCACCGCAGATGCTGCTTGAGATAATCCGGGAGGAGGATGGATATGGAGGGGTCCTGGCGTCTGATGTAGGGTGCCAGGAACATCTGAACTGGGCGCAGTTGGAGACTTCCTCTGTAGGTCAAGTCCTGCGCTGAGGTTAGGAGGCCCAGGAGGACTTTCCATTAACGCAAAGTGTGTGGTAGGTGGAGAGCTGGAATCAGGTGTGCCTGCATGTGCTCCAACCAGTCTCTGGGTACAGAGATGAGGTCGAGGTCTGTCTGGAAGGGGCTTGGAAGGTGTCAACTCTGACTTCCTGAGGTTGATCTTCCACCCCAACTGGTGTAGGAGCCGAAGGGTGAAGTCCCTGTGGCGGAGTAGAGTGACAGGGTCATGATGGTCCAGTAGGCAGTCGTCTATGTACGCCTCGAACTAGATGTCCCGGCGATGGAGGTACGAGGCTATCGGCTTGGTAAGCCGTGTGAATAGCCATGGGTGCCGAAGGAATTCCAAATGGGAGGACCGCCCATTGATAATGGACTCCCATGAAGATGAAGCGGAGGAATTTCCGGTCATCCAGGCTGATGAGCGCCTCCTGTGCCTGGATCCGGAATCGCAGTAGTTTGAGCGTGGTCATCCTGAAATAAGGTAGACGCGCCAGGTGGCGTTGGTTGAAAGCAGCGAGGTTGTGGATCATCCTGTGTTTGTCCGAGTCCTTCTTGGGGACCAGGAAGACAGGTGAATAGAAGCCCGGTGTTATGGCTGGGGCATGTACCACCTCTAAGGCTTTCTTGTCTAGCAGCACCCTGATGTTTCGGCTCAGTAGCTGCTGTTGGGTGGGGGGTATGTGTACACTATGGGTGACGATGTCAATGGCGGGTCGTCTATAAGCGTCAGCTTGTACCCGTGTCAGATGATGTTGCTGACGTATGGGTCCCTCAGGATCTCCCAGTTCTGCCAGAAGTGAGTCAGTCTCCCACCTACTGGGGTGTCGACAACTTGGACGGCTGGGGGAGGGAGGTCCCAGTCGTGCCTGTCTGGCAGTTCACTGGAGGTCCCTGCGGTCGGCGTTACCCCCCTTGGGCTAGCCCCGACGGGACTGGTATGTGCCTGAGGACTTTCCTTTCCCCTTGCCTCTGCCTCGAGAGGTTGAGGTGGAGCCCCGCCCACGAGTCCGGAGGGTGTTGCGTCGTGGCTGGTAGGAGCTCGACTAGGACGCCTTAGCAAAGGCAGGCTGTGACACCCTGGCCAGGGCCTTGAGAGCCGTCTCATCACAGGCGAGGGCTGAGACCCGTGAGTGTGTCTTGGATATCTGTCCATTAAAAAGGTCAGAGCCGGACCAAGGTTGACGCAAAAGGTCTCTCTTGAACTCTGGATCCCAACTAGACAAGGCAAGGTACCCCAGGCGTCTAGTGGTAGAGAGTTCGATCAGAGCGGCGCGCATGTGGGAGCGCATCTGTTCCACTTGACGTTGGATACCACGGTAGTTAGATGATCAATCCTATGGGGGTTGTCCTCCGATTAAGTCCTGCAGTATAGCCCTGGAGAACGACGCCATCAGTGAGAGAGGTTTGAGCATATGGCAAATCTCGGTCTCCACGTAGGCGAGTTTGCTGTCGGAGACTCGGACTGAGGTGGAGTGGTCCGATCCCGTCATGCGGTGCATGTCCTCATCTAAGGAGTGAGCGTGGTCCGCAACTTGAAGAGAGTGGACAGGGAAGTCATCTCGTCTATAACGTGGGGCCCTGAAGGATGGAGTCAGTGACAGCTTACTGAAGTCCTCATCCAGAGCCGAGATCATGTCTCTGATCAGTGGGTCAGGAGGGATCGAGGTTGGGTCCGCACGGATGGCCGCCTTGCTATCTACCTCTAGGCCATGTCTTTACATCGGTGACCCTGGAGGCATTATGATGTACAATTAAGGCACAGGGGTTGGGGATCCCACGCCGACATATTACACCGGCACTTTGAGCAGGAGGGCATGATATCTGCAACGAAGAAGTGTAAAATCACAAAGCGTCCCTGCCCGATTAGGTATGCTATAATTTGTTTATCCCACTGTGTGGGTTTATGAAACAAATATTACGACAAACGTAAGACAACATACAACAAAACAAACAATACTTGCGAGGATACGCCAATCGTGGGGTACCAAGCAAAAGAATATAGAACGCAAACCAGTTCACAAACTGCTGGCTACGCAAAATATTCAAGATGGCTACTTGGAGCAACAAGACACCTGGCCTTATGTTTTCTTTTGAGAAAACGCCAATAAGGGTCTAATAACATTATGCACATGTTTATCAAACATAGAATGTACAATATACACACCGTAGGCACAACACAAAGACAAAACAACATTAACTCAGATAGCAAACACGTGAGGGTTTGAATCAGTTTTATGTTACAGCAAAAAAAAACAGGTCTTCTCTCATCAAGTGACAAGAGTAATGTGAGGATCCGTGATGTCACTTCCCTTGGTCACGTGGGAGCTGCGTGATGGGCTGGCCTCTCAGCTAGTTGGAGCAACTTCTTCAAGCAAAGACCCTCTCACACAGCTATTTTCTCTGTCAAGAAACAAGCAGTAATATGCATTAAGGAGTAATACAGGATAAGTAAAAAATCATAAATTTAATGTATTACCCAAGCCAAAGAAAGAATTCAAAACGCAGAACACAAAATTATGTGGCTACGTGGTGAATGGCAAAAATGGCGGGAAAGAAACAGAATGGTGGGAATTTCATTGCGCCCGTAAATTACTGTGACTTGAGCCACAAACAAGCGATAAACGTTACAAATTTTGAATGGGAAGACCCTAAGGTAACAGACCATAAACAGGTAACAATGTAGCAGCATACGATGAATGTAGAAACATGCAAAATATAGAAACAATAAGCTTTAATTTCAACAAGGGATACAAAGTACGTCCGTCCCAGGAGGTGACAAAGCAGTTATGTGTTTTGATGTGACGTCATGACTTACGGGTCATGTGTCGACTATGAGAGGGCGCTGCTTCCTGTACTTGTTGGGACCACTTTTCTTCAGCAGCTGGATCTCACACAGTTCATCTCTCTGTCAAAAGACAGCAGTAAATGCAATACAGAGTGATGCAGGATAAGGTAAAAAATTAATATCATACAACGGCCCACCTTAAGAATTCAGGTGTCCGTTCCAGAAAGTTATCGTAGCGCTAAGGTTATCGAAACTCACATACTTTAACAGAAACTTTACGACTGTCGTTGTGCTACAATCCGATCGCCTTGTGGAACGGGACCTGCACCACAAAGTTTACAATCACATCACAATACTCTATGACGTGATTTGTGGAATTTTGTTGCAAGATCCACCGGCGAAACAATGCCATGTGACATCAGCCTAGCAACAGGGTTGCTGGGGTCATTGAGTGTGCATAAGCTCCTCTCGTTGATCTATCATCTCCTCACGCAATGTCGTTGAATAGGCCAAGATATGTTGAAAGCTTTCAATGTTTGTTAGTTGACTTGTTCCCGCAGTACACAATGTGTAATACAGCATTATGTTTATTAAACAGGGGATCTCTTCATATTCAAGAAATAAACAGGTTTTCAAAATAGCCAGATGAAAATCATATTCTAACTTCTTGAACAAATTCAATTGTTAACAATAGTTGGAACAAACATGTGAAGTTCCAGTTTCATTGGTCAGGTTGTTTCTGAGGAGATGATGAGACAATGAGAGAAAATGAATTTAGAGAGAATTAGGAGCATAGTCAAAGTGCTAAATTCAAATAAAGGTCAAAATTCTAAATATCGTGAAAAAAGAGTGTGGCCATACTGAAAATAGAATTTGAGCCTCTCCTGAACAACTTCAGTCATCCTCCTTGGAGGGAACCAGCATGCAAAATTCCAGCTTCATTCGTCCATTCTGAGGAGAAGATGTCTTCAGGAGGTGCCACTGCCAACACTAGATCTCACAAACAGGCCATGACATGAGCTGAGTCAGGTGAGCTAAGTATGAAGCAGCTGCTGGCACAGTATCACAGACAGGCATGAACTGAGATTACCTGATTCCATTAAAGAAGCTGAGGTGTTTCATATCATCTGGCAGGAGGTCTGGCGATGGCCAGTCAAAGTTATCCATTACAGGGATAATGTTGCACTTGTTCTCTAATGCTGCAACAATCTCCTTAAAAGACAAAGAGGAAACATTCCCAGTTTCTTGTTGCACTAATACATCTTTGTTTATGAAAGGGTAAGTCAACTTTACTTTGGCATCTGATTTTTAAAAGTAAAAATATGATCATTTACTCTCTAACTCTTATCAAACATAGCTGTTTAATGGGTTGCAAAGTTTTGTAACATTTCTTTCCTACATTAACTTTAATCTGATGATTCAGGATACCTAATCAATGCTCCCCAACAAGCATAGCTGGGTGATGTCATCAATCCTGTATACATCATGACACTTTCTCAAAATTCATACGAGTATGTATGTATATTTTTCCAAAAAACATAAATGGAAATAGTTGAGTTTCCTTGATTTCTAATGGTACTGACTGTAGACCATGACCTACAAAATACTGGCTTGGGTACTGACCAACATAACTTATAATGCCTTTGATTTGGGGCTAAAAAACTTGCCTTGTATATAGTAGACTTCCTTACCATCCAAATTATTTAATTCAAAACTACTCAGGGTCACTATCATTCACAAGAAGCTGAGAAAGCAGAAACTCCTCATTCTCAGTTTCACACATGGCTCTAATGACAACATCTAGGCCTAGATGGAAAGCGCACCAGTAGAACTTGCATACCATTCCTTCAGACCATGAAGGTGAACTACACAAAGACACGGTGGAAACTTGCCTTGTGAACCCAGTCCTTCTGGTCCGCATCACCAAAACAGCGGTCCAGGGCATTGGAAGTTAGAATCAGGATGAAATTTTTCGCCATTTTAATGCTATACAGCAGGTTCTCATCAAATTTGCCTGCACGAAGCCGTTCAATGTCAATAAAGACAGAGAAGCCACGAAGCTGTAGATGGACCTTCAGCAGGCTGCAACAAAGTAGGTTTCATATCAAATTGTATAAAGCATGCACTGTGTTGGCATCTCTCACATGTACAATAGAGTTACATGATACTATAATATGTCAAGGACTGACTGGAAATGAGTCCCAAATATATCCTACATGTATGTATATGTTTTGCTGCTATAAGTAAAGCTGTTATGATAACCTCTTCAAAACACAGAAACATCGAAGGGAAATAAGAATAATAAATAATATTTCAAAAATATATATTCAATATATTCAATATATTTCAAATTACATCCACTGTATATTCATTATTTAACAATATTACATTCATAATAATTTTAAAAAACTGTGAAATTTAATTTTGCTTTTCATAAGAAATTTTACACAAATTTCAAATGTCTCATCATGTGTATTTCCTCATCACACTCAATTTTAAATTTAGAAGAAGGTGAGGAGAAATGGGGTTTACCATCGCATTCATGATTATTGCACTTATGTAGCGACGTGCATGCATGTGCTTGTATGTGTGTGGCAGCTTGTACTAGTCCGGACTGATGCCGATTGATAGTGCTAGCATCTCTGACACAAACGTCACCCAAAAGAAATATATATATATAGGCAGAGCTCAGTGATTTTACAACATTAATACATTGGGCATGGTAGACTTTACTCTGCGAGTGAAGGCATATTCAAAGTGAAACCCCTCCCTTCAAGAGTATAAACTATGATTAGCTGACTTGAGTTATCCAAAAGGACACGGTCATTACTAATCGCTTGCAGATGCCTTCGGTTTTATCATTCATTTGATTAGTGAAAACGTGTGTTCTCTCACATTTTGTTCAGCATGTGGTTGAGTGGGAAAAGTACTTTAGCTCTCGGCTCGATAGTTATGTGGTTCACTATCGCAATTCACGATATTTCTGCCGTTAAATCTGTTGTGCGTTCTATGTGTTGTTTGAAGTGTTGTTTCAAATCATACAGTTTAACAAAATATTAAGGCAATGTTAGAACGTAAAGCAGATTATTGACATGAAACAGATCCTGTCTTGCAAGCCATTTTGTCAAGTTTATTCAGGCACTACAATGAACTTAGCTACTCTCGATTCTAGCTTACAATATCTTTATAGCCTACAATCGCTTTGTGCAAGTGGATGTCGATTGTACCCAAAGCCTAAGATCACGATATTAATTATTTACAAAATTGTAGCGCTAAGATTTTCTTTGAAGCCTCACAAAGGTTTCTTCACCTGGCTAGCTGTGATCCGTTAGATCGACGGTAGCTGATGAAAGCATCAATGGTTTTCTCTGAACTGTTAAAAGCTCCATCAGTGATGTCTCTACAAATAAGCTGGGGACTTGTCAGCATGGTGGGGAGGCCTGCTTGTTCATATTCTGCAATGAGAACAAGTCGACTTACGAATGGAACTGCTATTTGGTCAGTTGACTAAGTTGATCTGTTGATAAAATACCCTGAACATTAACTACATTCCTTTTTGGACAAAGCTGTTTAGGGGAGTGGGACTACATCAAATTTCAAAACACAGTAGGTTTATCTCCATTCTACTATGACGGCAACAACGCTTTGAAAAGGGCACACTCTTGCAAAGCGTAACAACACAGGCACACAGGTCCGCAATCTTAGAACATTCCGAAAAGTGGTCACAGGTAGTTATATATGTAACAATTATTACTAAGGTTCAAGATTAAAAACACCATAGTCGTGAGTAGTTCATAATAAGTGTTCAAAACACATAGGTTTCCAAAGAAGCTGACAAATAACACTCCAAACTTAGTCCAAAGAGAGATGTTTTAATGTCTACCAAGCTGCTGTACACTGTTGAACACTGTGGACTGACTGTCATTTCACGGAATTTTGTGAGCGAGGTCATTTCTTGAAAATTTTTTACAAACCTGTAGAGGTTATGAGTTCTCTGATGAAATCCTCCTTGGGGCACTTATTGCATTTTCCTGGCTCAAGAAAATCTACATGACATAGTTGTAACCATTTTCCTTAATAAAAATGTTACCACACAAAAACTTCGTTTTTGTATGATATACGACCACCCTTACGGTGCCTCACCCTCCATGGCGCGTCACGCCAAGGGAAGCAACCCTCACCCAAATCACTTTCCATATGTCTAATGCTGACGGAATGAGGGGAGGTGGGTGGCCGTGGCCCAAGGAGGATTTCATCACAGAATTCATAACCTCTACAGGTTTGTAAAATTCTCTTTCAGATTAAATCCTACAGGTTTGTACCGCTCTAACCGAATGAGCCTTCAACCTGGTAGGGGGGTCCCTGCCTTGAAGTGTGTACGACGTACAGATAGTAGAGACTATCCACCTGGAGATAGTTTGTTTGCTCGCAGGTAAGCCAGCCTTCCTACCGCCATAACAGCAAAATAATTGGTTATCCTTACGGATACCCTTAGTTCTACTGATATAGGCCTTGAGGGTCCTGCGGACATCCAAGACATGAGCATGTCTTGCAGTGGTCCCCGATGAGGAAGGCTGTGAAAGAGCAGGTAGCTCAATAGGAGCCATCACGTGGAAGGCGTGTGTGACCTTAGGACGGTAAGAATCCGGCAACCGAATACTAACCCTGTCCCGGTGAAAGACAGTTAGGTCGGGATCGGCTGACATTGCGTGAATGTCGCCTACCCGTCTGCCGGACGTCACTGCCACAAGGAACGCCGTCTTCCAGCTCAACAGCTGAATAGAGAGAGACGACAGATCCCGAAAGGAAGGACCGGACAGCCAATCAAGAACGATTGACAAGTCCCAAGAGTCCCAGGCGGTCGGATCCTGTCCACACCTGCTAAAAAACGCTGTACTAATGGGTGCGCACCCAGAAGTGCCCCGTCGACAGGGATATGAAAAGCTGCAATAGCTGTAGAGTACCCCCGGACTGTTAATGCGGCCAGGCCATCATCTAGTCGCGACTGGAGGAACTCAAGCACTGCTACGAGATCTGCAGAAAAGGGATCTGCAATCCCTCTATCGACACACCAGCGCGCATAGCAGGCCCATCTATCCTCGTACTGAACGTTTGTCGAATCCCTCCGCGAAGCCAGTATTGTGTCTGCAACTCATGCAGGAATACCGCTCTTCTGGAGGCGATTTCTGACAGTGGCCAAGCCACCCACTGAATCCTGGGATTCGGGTGGAGGGCCTCGTTCTGGGATAGAAGGTCCGGTCAGAAAGGTAATAGAACAGGAGGCTGAGCCAGAAACCTGAGTATTACTGGAAACCAGCTCTGCGCCGACCAAAGAGGTGCCAGGAGCACAAGTAGTCGCGCAGGCTGAGTGGCTAGCTGAGATAGGACCTTGGGGATCAGAGATACTGGGGGGAATGCCCATAGTATTCTGTCCGTCCAATCTAGCTGGAAGGCCTCCGCTGCCACCGGGGACTTGGGAACAGAACGTTGGTGTCTGGTGATTCACCCCAGACGCAAACAGATCCACCTGGAACGACCCGTATAATTGGGAGATAATCCCGAATATCCCCGGGTCGAGCCTCCACTCGTGAGGAGCGAGGATCCGGTGAGACAGAGCGTCCGCACGGACGTTGTCCACCCCCAGGAGATAAACAGATATCACCCTCGGGGTGTATGGGTACGTGGAGATATGCGTCTTTTAGGTCTATTGACGTTAGCCATTCTCCTGTCTCGACCGCTGAGATCACTGAGCGCAGTGTCTCCATCCGGAAGGACGGTACCTCTATAAGATTGTTCAACCTTCTCAGATTGAGAATAGGTCTGACCCTCCGTCTTTTTTGGTGACTAGGAAATATGTCGAGTAGAATCCCTCGCTTTCCTGTCCCACGGGAACCGGTTCGATCGCCGCCTTCATAAGAAGTGCGTCGACCTCGGCACGGAGAAATTCCGCCTTCTCTCGGGTAGCAGGCACCGGAGTGTGCTTTATCCCGGAGAAGGTGGGCGGATGATGTTTCCACCGAGGCAAGTGGCCATCCCTTAGAGTGGACAGTGTCCAGGGATTTGAGGTGACTTTCTCCCATTCCCTCAGGAATAGAGTCAGTCGGCCGCCTACGGGGACATCCGGTTTTAGGCAGTGGACCCCTACTGTCTGCAGTTCGATAACTTGCGACTGTGGGTCCGCCCTGGGCGCTTCGTGCGCTAATGAGAACCCGATGGGTTCCCGGCCCCGCGAAAAGGCTGCTGGCCTCGACCAGCTGCCTTGCCCCGGCCCCTGCCTCGCTTGCTCTTCCCGGCGCCCTTACCTGAAGGAAGCGGCTGCTTCCAAGCAGGTGCGGACTTCTGAGCCAGCGCATCAGCGTGGGAGAAGTCAAGCGGAGAGGCCCGCTTACGCGGTTTGACGCTAGGTATCTCCAACAAGGCCTTAGAGTCCTTGATAGAAGCATACATTTGAGCGGCCTCTCTGACCACCTGCTGAGCTCCAGGGAAGAGGGTCGAACCCATCTTATAAGGCAAAGCTAGGAGATCCTGGCGTGTGGACGTCGAGTACTTAGATACTGACATCCACAGCCTGCGCATGCCCATGACTGCGCACATCATCTGCGAGGCCACTGGCACCTCAAAATCACCGTCCTCTGCTAACGGGTACCGCTTAATAAGTTCGGGTAGGTCGAACTTCCTGCGGGCACCCGAGAGCAGAGGGTCGATGACCTCGTGTGTCAGGGAGGACAAGATACGGAGCCGCACCTGGGGCGCCTTGCTAGGAGCAAAGGCGTCCCCCCGAAGGCAGAACTCAGTCGGATCCGACTCGGGCATAGGCGCAGCCACCTGAGGCAGTACCTGGACAATCTTCCTGAAGCCTCCGAGTCATCCCCTCCCTCATCCATCCACTCCTCATCTCTCGATTCCGAGAGTGAGCGGACGAGGTAGGAAAAGGATCCCCGAAGGCCTGGGCCTTCGCATCCCCGGGCTGCCCCCGGCCCGAAGCGGAGTCCCGGTCCCGAGGTGCCGGGGGTTCAAGAGAACCCACCTGGCTCTGGGCAATAATTCCGCTAGCGGGAGCCTCGGCCTCGGAGAAGGCGTATGACTCCGCTAGGGAGAAAGGTGCTGAGGTAGTGAACAAGCCAGCGCTCGCCACCCCTCCGCTGGGGAGCGACCTCGAGCCGGAGCCGAAGGCGGTCTCGGGTCGTCCCCGAGGTCAAGTAGCCTGCCTCGGCCGACGCCGGACATTCCACAAGACCTTGAAACCGCACCCGGCGCCGACGATGGGGAAGGCCCAGCCCGCATCTTCTCTCGGAGCCATCTGCGACTTAAACAGAGCAGATATATCTGCTAACGAAGGTGCAGAAGAGGGTGCAGTTAAGGGGACCTCAGGAACCCTAGAGCCTTCACCCCCGGCCCTCGTAGAGGGAGCGGAGGAGACCGTGGCGGAAGGCGTATTAGCCCTAGGTTTACTTTTACCCTTTTTAAAGGGGGGGGGGGGGGGGGAATGGCCTTCTTAGAGTGAAATTCACCCCCGCCTCGAGTAGACTTTTATAGCGTATCAGGTCGGCATGTCGCCTTTTCATTGTTTTGGGCGTGAAAGCCATGCATGTGGAGCATGTCTGATCATCATGCCTGTTCTCCACCAAGCACTTTAGGCAAAAAGCATGTTGGTCTTGGGGCGGAATATTTAGCCCGCATCCCGTACAAAGTTTGAAGGTCTGTAAAAAAGACTGTAAATATTGAGTTGGGTTGGGCGGGTATCAGTGCGATTAAAGATCGGAAAGATACGTGCTTTTAATAAATTGTGAAAACAGAAGCAAAGGCGTAATGTGTAATGCGATTGTAGCGCAATACTAATAGCCATTGTTCGTTGTATAATTTTTTTAAATACACCAAGTGGGCGTGTTACGCACTAAGGTGTAAAAACCCTTTTAAAAAAGGTATGTGTAGTTATAATCTAGTACATCACCTTGGGTTTTGTAAAGGAAAAAACGTGCAGTTGTAATCTGTATGATTAACCAAACCCCAAGCCATTTTGTTGGCCTTAGGTTTACATGTGTCAGACAGTGGAACCGCACCATGGACGCCATTACGGACATTTGAATTCACATGCGCCGTACACGTGGCGTTTCTTCTAAGAGAATTACAACGTTATAATTTTACAATGCGAGGTATTACGCCTTTGCAAGGTAATAAATGTACCATACATACAGTTTGGTCAGCCATGCTGTCTCAGGTCACGATCTTTCGTACTTAGAAACTTTTCTCAGAGTAGCCACACGTCTTGTCAGATGAATGACATAAAGGAAAGTGATTTGGGTGAGCATTGCTTCCCTTGGCGTGACGCGCCGTGGAGGGTGAGGCACCGTAAGGGTAGTCGTATATCATACAAAAACGAAGTTTTTGTGTGGTAACATTTTTATTAAGGAAAATGGTTACAACTATGTCATGTAGATTTTCTTGAGCCAGGAAAATGCAATAAGTGCCCCAAGGAGGATTTAATCTGAAAGAGAATGAACCTGCTATCATTTCTGTTTTAGGGGTGATGGGTTATAGAAAAAGGTTTTAAAATACTAAACGAATATATTTCTACAACAAACTTTATGAATTAACATTCTATTATACATTTAACATGTGTAAATGTTATTAGTTAGTTAGCAATTACCCCCAGTAAAGAATAAAAAAATCAAAATAAATGCCTCTCCACCCCAAACTTGGATGTGGCAGAACTTGACCTACATCAGGGTTACTCACACCTCACAGCTGTCAATGGTTGACAATCTTGTGTTTACATTCTCCGTAACGAGTTAGAGAATGAAGCAAGACGACAACCCCGATCTATGATGTAGTTCAACATTAACATGTAGATTATCTGGGATTGATAGTGCCTGCTGGTACATCCATATGATTACCAATGGAGCCAAGTTTGACTGAACAGCCGCTTTTTAAGCTGCAAACGAGCCGGATATTTTGAAACGAGGAATCTGCATGGTGTGACCTGTCAATTTCAAGAATTCACGAATCCAAAGCTAAATCGTGACAGAACTTAGACATTTGTGTCCCAGAAATAGTGGATCGTGTATGATTTTCTTAATTGAATTTCATCAAGTTTGATAAGCTGTCACTTCAGTTGGGACATTGTTTTCGTGGACTTTCGAAGGGTAGTGTTTTCTGATGGACTTTCAAATCCCCTCCTGCCAAATTGTAACGGTGGTGGTTGACGGAGATGGCAACGAATATCGATCAGAAAAAGGTTTGTAAAGAACATGTTGTCATGAATAAAAAAAAATCAAACAATTTTTATAATGTTATATTTTACTTTCATTCTCGGTTGTTTCAATGAAGAAATAGTTTAAATTGTTCCGATTCTGGTCACCATAGAGGGCACAGGTGGCCCAGTCGTCTAAGGCGCCGCGATTCGCTGTGCAGAGTTGCGTCCCTTGGGCACGCCAGAAACCTATGATTGTGGGTTCGAATCCGGGTTCGCCCCGATTATGTTTCTAGGTTTGTCAGCACCATACCCGTGCTCGTGGGTTTCACCGAAGTGGTAAACGTCGGAGACCTGCATCACTTCGGGCTTTCCTCCCACATTAAGCTGACTCGCCGTGATATAACTGGAATACTGTTAAAAGCGGTGTTAAACCCACTCACTCACTCACTCACTCTGGTCACCATAGAACATTTCTCTAACAGTTTCATAAACATTTCATTTGTATGCAAAAGATATGCCTTCGTTAAATCTTTTCATGTCATCATCGACGCTATGCCGTCTATTAATTTTGCAAGACCCCTTGACTTGGCGTGTATTAGAGACCTGGCTGGTATTAGAGGAAATAAAGATTCGTTTTACAGTTTATATGGGGGTGATCGATTGGCAGCCATTTTTTATGAATCGATATGTAGGCTTTCTATGTATTCATGCGCACATGTTTTTGTGAAAAGGCTTAATATATTTGAAAGGGGTTTCCGTAGCAAAAAGGAAACCTCTTTTCAACCAATCAGAATCAAGCATTCATCAATGTCATGGTAGAATTGCAAGTACTTGTAGAAAAAGGAGAATCCCTATCCCCACACACATTGACTTTCCACACCATCCAATCATATATGAGAACATTACATGTTGCAAACTTAGGTGTAATAATACATCAGAAATTTCAACAATTTACTGATAATACTTCCTGAAAGAAACTAATTAAATAAATGAATGACCTTCAAAGTGACCTTCACAGTTGATACAACCACAGGTATTGAGCTAGTTACTTTAGTCTCTCATAACTAATAGGAACATGCTTTCATTTTTCATTTATTAATCTGAAATGTCCTATATTTTCCCAGGGGTACATAGGACTGCCGGTAATATCAGGTATGAAACCAACTGCAGCAGACTCTCTTATAGCCACCACAGTTGGTGATACTCATCTTCTATTCTTCAATGATTAATCATAATCAGATATTCCCCAAAACATGTTTCTGTTCATACATGTTACAAAAAGTATGTAGCCTTTGTCTATAAACAATAAATCAAACAATAATTATCATTGTATATAATTCTAAGAATACTACCTCTATTACATCATAGACATAATTCCCGCAATTTGGCCATCACCAAACTAAAAACATCCCTAGAATTTCATCAGACGTCCACTTCACTGTCAGCCAGTCCAACCAGTTGTTAGGTTAACCATCCCTCATGCAAAAGCTTCTTTCCAATCACTACATGCAAAGGGTGAATGGCTACTGTGGTACTGTAGCCTGTGCAGCCATCAAAGGCTCCAAGGAATACAGATCCCCTAAATCTGGGTATATGTCATGAAAGTAACATGTGTTGGTAAATGTGTTTTGGAATCTCCACTGTCAGCTCACTACAACTTGTCTTCCCTAAACTAATCCCCAAGAAGCTAGCAAAGTAGATAAGACTTTGACCTAATGGGGCTACCAGTCCCTCCAGATAGGTGGGGAGAGCTCTGTATGTTGGTAACTTTCGGAAATTGTGTTGTTTAATCAACCTGCAACAGCAGCCTTGGAGATGTTTTTATCTACTGAGGGCTTTATACTGCATATAGACAAACATGTCGGAAGGGTTCACACTTCTGCCTAGAGCAGGGGTATTGTCTATGACCTAACAAATTGACAGGGCATCCACGCCGAGAGCCAGTGGGTCAGGTTCTGGACTGACATACACGCTTATATAGCACAAACAAGTCAATATGAGGAGTGTTCCCAAACCTTTATAATCCACAAGAAGTCTTGGGGATGTAGAGACCACTCCATTCAGACGATAATGTTCCTCCAGGTTAAGGGGCGGTCGGGTAGCCTAGTGGTTAAAGCGTTCGCTCATCATGCCGAAGATCCAGGTTCCATTCCTGACATGGGTACAATGTGTGAACCCCATTTCAGGTGTCCCCCCCTCGTGATATTGCTTCAATATTGTTAAAAGCGGCATAAAGCCATACTCACTCACTCCTTCAGGTTTAACAAGGGGCTAAAAAGTCCTGGGAATGTGATGTGCTTCCAATCTGCAGCTGATCGAGTCGAATAAACGCGTAATCACCTTTAACAAATGTTGTGACTTTGTTCCCCCTTTGTTGTAGGTATGCTACAACTAGCAACCAGTACCGACAATCAACAAGCAATGGTTGTATTTCTGACATATCTGAGACAACCGCCTCAATGTTGACAAATTTCCCTGACCCCTAGCTAATACAGCAATCTGGTCAGATTGATAGGTAAGTTGAATGTCTAGACAGCAACCTGTTCTGGTAGATCGGCAAGAGATTCTGATATGGATTCTAAATGATGATCCATTATCATTGAGTTGGATTTAGTTACCGATGCTGTGACTTGACCAATTTGATGGTGATGGAAGGAGCTGGGAACTGGTGTGGGATTGGTCGCCAATCCTAACACCATGCAACACCACCGGATCCTTCCTGCCGCGATGGGATAGAGGACAGGGTTACCTGACAACCCTGTCACCATGCGTCACAAGTCTGCACTGATTAGGTTTTGGTGGAGGACTTGGTACACGCCTTCCCTGATGTATTCTTCTAAGACAGGGATGTAGCAGCAACACATTCCCAGTGAAGTGAAAGTCTGGTGAAAATCTTGGGATTGGTTTGTTTGGAAGTCAGCATAAATTATGTTTCATTTCATCCGACACATGTTCGATGAGCGACAGATCTAGCGCAACAGTGGGCCAAGGAGTGCAGAGATGTTCTGTTGTCCAATGAAGTTTGTGACCCCACATGCAAAAAGTGGGGGTTCATTGTCTGCTGTCTGAAGGGTCAATGGGTGTGAAGGAATGGGAGTATGTGAGTACGGGTAACTTCACCACAGTAACATACACCTGTCAAATTGACATCCATGGCCACAAGAGGGGACCTGTGATGTGAAGTGTTGCCTGCCAAAACCATCAGGCTAACACTACCAAAAGTAGAACATGTAACATAGCATCGGGCATTGCAATTCCTGTTTAAATCATTCCAATTGCGTGCAAATAGTCATTGTAAGGCGTGGCATAACGTTTATGAGGCTTCACTTATTGGATGCCATTCCAGGTCTTACCTCTCACCCTCTGAAGCATCATCATGCGGTGCACACCATTGCTAATATTGCAGTCGGTTTGTAAGTGTTCCTCTGTCAGTAGAGCCAGCATCTTGCGATCTACCCCACAGTGCAGCATCTGGTATGTGTACTGGGACAACACTGGGGCCACCTCACTCAACCAATCGTCCAGCTTGCTGGGATCACATGATGTATAATCTGCTGATATCTTCAGATCACGCAACTCTCTTACAAATCTGAAATTTTACAAAATATATCACATGAAAAAAAACAAAAAGTATCAGTTACACCCTCTAAAGCAAGTGCACGTGGAGCAAACAAACGTGTAAAAAAAAAGTGTGAAACCTACAGGTCTGGTTAATTAAACATATACATAAAGACTTGGGACAATGTGGGTTAGTTAATGATGATGTATTTGTTCTCCTCTTTTTCTTGCTAAAATAATGTCATGGCACTGTAGCTTCTTACCTGGATATGTAGTCAGCACTTTGAAATAGTGACAGGCACCTAACAACAGCTGATGTCAGCATTGATATTCATACATGGTCTGCATAAATGCTGAGGACTAACATCAAAACCTGACATCAAAAATGTCATCCTGAGGAGAAACATACATGCTACAGCTCCCTTAGTCTGGCAATTTCAGAGAAGAAGTTCACAGGGGCAAATATGCATTTTGAGAGAACAAACGGAACATAACTAACCATGCACCAAATTTGATTACATTTTGAACAGACATGGTCTGTGGTCATAAGAAGTTCTGCTTGCAGTTCAGGCAAAGTGCAAAGGTCAAAAAGAGGTCAAAATTTAAATATTTGAATATACACTGACCCGCAAAAGAAATGTCACTTCATAAAAATATGTCATGAATGTTTCCCACTGAAATATCAATGCATTTTTTGGAGGTATCTCGTTTTTTTACATAAGTGTGTATCAAAATCTAATTTTAACGTCCAAAAGTGACACGATTTATGGACATAATGAGTCGCCAAAATGCAACTTAACAAACATCCATGGTACACACATGGATACAAGCTTAAGTCCTGAATGTTTCCATGAAAATAAAATATGCCCTTGTGTTTCCTAGTACTCTTTCTGATAAACGGCACCCCAATACGTGAATCCAAACTTCTTGTATCATTCAATCAGAAACGGGAGTGAATCCTGCTTTTCATGGAAAGCTCTTAGGACTTTGGACCATGAACCTTTGTACACTGACCATGCTGACCACGGACTAAAACACATCTCTGTAGTCATTGTTTAGTTTAGTCAATTATTTTCAGGAATGGACAGTTGGTTTCCATTTTTCATTATACATGTATTTCTAAATTAATTTACACTCTGAACAGACAGAACTATTATATTTGACACTCAGTGAATCATTTGAAACTTGCTGGAAAACGTGTGGGCAGCTGGAATTGTTCCTACATCCTATGATTGGAGAATGGGTATTAGTTTACATTGGGGGCCTCGGCTCCATTGTTAAGGAAGTAAGAGTTACTTGGACATTATCCTCTGCATAACAGGTTATGGGCAGACAAGCAGTTTCACAATAAGGATAAACCACAGATGAGCAAACCCAAATGACATACTAAGTCTAGTTTCAATCGTAAATCAGAAGTGTAGCAAACACATGTCTATCCAATATGGGCGATTAAGGAAATGATGACAAGTACTACAGAAGCATGCTTGGTGAGAGATGGCTGAAGGTAGTGCTGGCTTAAACAATCGATAATCAGAATTATCGTCAATGGGAAGATATATGTACGATAATCGATATAAAAATTGTGTCATCGATAATATCTTACATAAACAATTATGATGAAGAATATATTTATTGAAACAGACAGAAATCATGTCAATTGCCAAAGATGGAAGGAAACTGTTTTGGTTATAAAATAAATGTTCACAGAGTAATCCATGCATCAGAGCTCCAGATAAGCTGCGTATCTGTGTGAAATACGCATCAGAAATGCAGAAATACCCAGTAAAATATAATCCAAGCGTATCAAATATGCAACGAACATTACAGATACGCTACAAAAATAAAACTTGTGCGTATCATCAAAATGTTGTGAAGTAACCCTGCGTATTCGATTAGCAAATCAGCAACTTATTTTGAAATTATAAAGGGGCATTCCGTCAACCTTGCCAAACTCCACGATGACAGTTACATCATGATCATTTGCCATCACACTTTCTTGTGGAAGTATCGTGGTATTTATGAGTCCTATAAAGCTCTCGAACCCACACGACACCAGTTTGCAGGGACTAGATGAATAGTGTTTTTAAATATTTAACTTAAATACCCACATGTGTAAAAACTAGTGGGTAACAGAAATTTGAATACGCAGGTAGAATTACTGATACCCAATGATTTTAAAATGCATGGGTAAAATACCCACAACACCAAAAGCTTATCTGGAGCTCTGTGCATAAATGTGTATTTAGGGCGATGATTTCTTTTGGATTTTTTCCATATTTGCTTAAAGTTACTTCTCTGATATTTATCGATAACTGATCGATATTTAGTTAAAGATTATCGATGAGCACCAGACAGGGTAACAACAAGTACCATCTCTGTACGTCTTTTGGTATGACGCGGGTAGGGATCGAACCCCGGGCCTTCCGCTCTCTGGGTGGACACTCTAACACTAGACCACGAAGGCAAGAAGGAATATTGCATACTGTTGTGGTGGAATAAGCTACAAAATACTCATGTTAGCCCTTTGTTATAGTCACTGTTGTATCTTAATGTATTTATTTGGTACATATTTTGTCTGCCAGTATGAATCTATTACTTACGATCTAAGGTACCACAGCTAAATCCCCCTGACCTTTATTTACATACAAATCAGTGCAAATGTTTCCAGTCATTTACCCTAAATGTTACAACTGACTAAACATACCTGTTATACAGAAGACTCACCTCTTCCTAGCAATCCTGCAATCCATTCCCAAACTGCTGATTAGCTCGTCCTCCATAAGCTGCAGTAGAAGGTCACCATCTACGCAGCACTTCTCAAACATGCCAGCATAGCTCTCAAACCCCACCTGCAGAACCCCACCAGGACCATGGTACATCACACACAGTCAGTACAGTTAGTACACCTGTCAGAGATGTCTACAGATAGGTCGCAGTAAGGCAAAAGGAAAGTTAATTGTTTGGAATATATTTTGTACATGCATATTAACTGCACTACCTATTTGATGGTACATGTATGTTTACTGCACTACCTATTTGATGGTACATGTATGTTTACTGCACTACCTATTTGATGGTACATGCATGTTTACTGCACTACCTTTTTGATTGTATATGCATGTTTACCGCACTACCTATTTGATGGTACACGCATGTTTACCGCACTACCTATTTGATTGTACATGCATGGTTACGGCACTACCTATTTGACTGTACATGCATGTTTACTGCTCTACCTATTTGATGGTACACGCATGTTTACTGCACAACCTATTTGATGGTACATGTATGTTAACTGCACTACCTATTTGACTGTACATGCATGTTTACTGCACTACCTATTTGACTGTACATGCATGCTTACTGCACTATCTATTTGATGGTACATGTATGTTTACTGCTCTACCTATTTGACTGTACATGCATGTTTACTGCCCTACCTATTTGACTGTACATGCATGTTTACTGCTCTACCTATTTGACTGTACATGCATGTTTACTGCTCTACCTATTTGATGGTACACGCATGTTTACTGCACAACCTATTTGATGGTACATGTATGTTTACTGCACTACCTATTTGATTGTACATGCATGTTTACTGCTCTACCTATTTGATGGTCAATGCATGTTTACTGCTCTACCTATTTGACTGTACATGCATGTTTACTGCTCTACCTATTTGATGGTACACGCATGTTTACTGCACAACCTATTTGATGGTACATGTATGTTTACTGCACTACCTATTTGATTGTACATGCATGTTTACATCACTACCTATATGACTGTACATGCATGTTTACTGCTCTACCTATTTGACTGTACATGCATGTTTACTGCTCTACCTATTTGACTGTACATGCATGTTTACTGCACTACCTATTTGACTGTACATGCACGTTTACTGCACTACCTATTTGACTGTACATGCATGTTTACTGCCCTACCTATTTGACTGTACATGCATGTTTACTGCACTTACTATTTGACTGTACATGTATGTTTACTGCACTACCTATTTGACTGTACATGTATGTTTACTGCACTACCTATTTGACTGTACATGTATGTTTACTGCACTACCTATTTGACTGAACATGTATGTTTACTGCACTACCTATTTGACTGTACATGTATGTTTACTGCCCTACCTATTTGACTGTACATGTATGTTTATGGCACTACCTATTTGACTGTACATGTATGTTTACTGCACTACCTATTTGACTGTATATGTATGTTTACTGAACTACCTATTTGACTGTACATGCATGTTTATGGCACTACCTTTTTGACTGTACATGTATGTTTACTGCACTACCTATTTGACTGTACATGTATGTTTACTGCACTACCTATTTGACTGTACATGCATGTTTACTGCACTACCTATTTGACTGTACATGTGTGTTTACTGCACTACCCATTTGACTGTACATGTATGTTTACTGCACTACCTATTTGACTGTACATGTATGTTTACTGCCCTACCTATTTGACTGTACATGCATGTTTACTGCACTACCTATTTGACTGTACATGTATGTTTACTGCACTACCTATTTGACTGTACATGTATGTTTACTGCCCTACCTATTTGACTGTACATGCATGTTTACTGTACTACCTATTTGACTGTACATGTATGTTTACTGCACTACCTATTTGACTGTACATGTATGTTTACTGCACTACCTATTTGACTGTACATGTATGTTTACTGCACTACCTATTTGACTGTACATGTATGTTTACTGCACTACCTATTTGACTGTACATGTATGTTTACTGCCCTACCTATTTGACTGTACATGCATGTTTACTGCACTACCTATTTGACTGTACATGTATGTTTACTGCACTACCTATTTGACTGTACATGCATGTTTACTGCTCTACCTATTTGACTGTACATGCATGTTTACTGCACTACCTATTTGACTGTACATGTATGTTTACTGCACTACCTATTTGACTGTACATGCATGTTTACTGCACTACCTATTTGACTGAACATGCATGTTTACTGTCCTACCTGATTGACCCAATAGACCACATCCTCCACATTCCACAGAGGCACCTGTTGAGACAGCTTGCGGGGTATCTCTTCCCCAATTATCTTCAGTGCCTCTGCAGCCAGCTGTGATGCTGTTGAGTTTGGGGTGCTTGCCAATCGCTTTAGGGGTTCCACACAGCCAATTTCATACAGTTCCTACATCATACAATTCCAAAACATAAGAAAAATATGTCACCATAAACTGAAAGTCATGATGCAATATAGTAAGAGATACAAATACAAATACTACCTCTACTACATCAAAGCCATAAATTCCTCTTTCTGTTTTTCATCACACCAAAAGTCTGTAGATTAATAAACAGACGTCCTTTTCACTGCCAACTATCTAAATAGTTTTGAGGTTCTGCATCTGTGCATTCGCAAGGTGGGAAAACATCAACTTATGGCTATAATGTAATATGGGTAGGATATTCAAAGGAATTGTACCCCTACTAATTTATGTGTATTGACAAATACACCCCAGTGTTGTTGTGGAATCTGTGTAAATGTTGGTGTATTGTGGCCCATTTAATGTCAGTGGATTGACAACCAGAGAAGGGTTTTGGAGCTGAGACGTAAAATGGTGCCTACATCAAATAGAAAATCAACCAGTGCAACAAGACTGGAAGTGTGGTATAAGTAAGATTAATACTCATTTTTTTTTCTGTGGCATAAAAATCAGCCAATACACCTACAGTTTGACTGTTGGAACTTTCCACGTAGTAACAGATGATATTTCACAGTTTATATTATTAACCCACAAACAGAAAGTATGGGCATAACAAGTATGTTCCTAACCCAAGGTGAGGAAACATCTATCCATTTTATTTATCCAATGCATGTAAATTAACATGTCACAGTTGTCAAAAATTAACTGAAATCTACAGTTGGATTACATGTCAAGGCAGAAGCAGTCTCATCTGTACCTTTTCTTGAAATGAATGCCTCAAAACTTTATCATCAGAAACATATATCATGAACCATGTTAGCTTCACATGTAGACCATCTGTCATCACACAAGCCCACTGCAGTACAACTATGTCACAGAAAGTCTACTGCCTCCGCCTAACTCAGTAACAAAGCAATGAAACAAGCACTTCCAGTGTGGCAATAAACATGGCCACTGCAGTACCACTTTGAAACTGACCTTAGGTACCTTAATAACAAAGCACTTCCAGTTAAAAACATGACTTCTGATTTGGAAAAATACATGTCTAATGCAGTACAGCCTCCTTTACCCATAGCTACCTAAATAACAAAGTTATAACCACTTCAGACTTAATTATGTTCACCTTCAATCTTAGCTTAAAACTGCCCTGAGATAATAGTATATAATAGTTTCATAAGGTTTCAATTACAAATGCTCAAAATGTTGTGTACAAATTTTATTTAGCGACATCTACTTTACACCAAGTAACCTTGACCTTCAATGTCATGCAATCACATTCGAGAAAATTACTTTTTGCAAACTTAGGTGGTCTTACACATCTGAAGTCTCTATATCAACTGCCAAAACTTTGTGAAATGGACTATTTACAAGTCATTCAATACCATGACAGATACAGATACTGAGTTAATTATTGAGAGGCTGTTATAAATGATGGATGTTTTTTTGTAGATTTTCATGAATTAATCCAAAATTTTGTTAAATTTGATAAAAAGTTTTATAATTTGACCTCTAGTGACCTTGACCTAACATGAAGGCCATCTAAAAGTTGTAGCTAAGATCATATCTTAAATATCGTATAATAGATTTAGCAAACTTTGAATCATACAGACTCAAGTTAAGAGAGATAAGATATATGGATGAACAAATTCTTTATTACAATTATTACAATTAAGAGCAACCTTCGATGTAGGTTCTAACACTGTTATCTAGCAAGTGACGCATCTCAAAGAAGTCAACTAAGACTCAAGTTATCGTGTACACAAGCTTTTTTACACCTTGTTCATGCTGAGTGACAGTGAGCATCAGTGGAATCTTATCCTATGTCAGACAAATTCCCCAGCTATGTCTGGAGGTATGTCAGTTATTTGTCTGTGACATCTGTCAGAAGTGTGTAGTTGAGAAAACCAATTGCGGATGTGACAGAGCTCAAATTCGTGTAACCAAATGCAAGGGGGATTGCTTAAACATCAACACACAAAAATTCCTTAATGCATAAATAGTTTCCAAATGCCACTTCCATCACTTATCCAGAGAGGCAGAGAAGTCATGTCAGTTGACTGACAATAACAATTTTTATGTTCATATTCCAGGAGTAAGAATTTTCCGATCTATGAATCTTAATTCATGCAAGATATAAGTAAGTAATATATGCCAATAAACCCATGGTTAAAACAAAAATATAATGGCAAAAAGACCAGAAGTGTGATTGAATGGTAGTTACCTCCTTCTTGTTTTGCTCAGCCTTGATTCCTGCTTCCATGGCAAAGTGAAAGGCAGCTAGAGCTTGAGCCTCCTCCCTCTTGCTTGACAGGACTGGGACAAGACGACGAAGCCAGCCTAGTGACCGCCCTTGACGATGTGAAGTGTCCATCTGGGCAAACTCTGCTGGGTTATGGTTGGTAAGGAAAGGACTGACCAACCCTAGGGTACCAGATGCCTCTACTGCAGCTTCGATCTCTTTGTTTGCTACCAGCACCGTAATTGCTAGACAAGCATAGTATCTGACACTGTCATCATTAATAAAGGCTAAAGGAAACAACCATTCAGGGACCTTACGTTTGGTCATTTGATGTTGGTTTTCTGGGCCACCATACAAGGCCAAGTTGGCAAGAGCTATTGCACAATGTCTTAGGGTCAAGCGGTCATTACAGCGACACCAATGTAAAATAACATCCAGACCACCAAGCTTGATAACATTTGTACATGTTTCTTCAGATGTCTTAAAAAGGCTTTCTAGGATTCCTGTACTTGTACGAGCCAATTCACAATCACCTTTAGCTGTAATAGTCATCTTTACTACTGTCTCTAACCCAGCTTCAGCCACACGCTTTCTATTGCCTGTTGTGAGAACTTGTTCCAATAAAAATGCAGAAGCAGTTCGTAATTCCTTATTACTGGATGCACAGTTATTGACTATAATGTCCAGTGCACGTTCTGTCCTCAGGATATCACACAGACTATAAGCAAGGTCTCGACCATATATCTGCATTGACCATGCTTGAGCTATGAGTACATTCAATTCTTGCAAGGCATTTATCTGTTCTGGAACAGATCCCATCTGCAGCTGGCGAATGTTCTGTTTCAAGGAATGAGAGTATATCTGAAAACTAGATTTCATATTGGCTTTAAGTTTATTGGCCTGCTCACTAGGCTGACCTAGACTTGTCTTGACCACTTTCACTGATGAAGAAGAAGTCTTCTCTACACAAGTAGAAATTCTCCCTGAAATGTCATCCTCACTCGTGCTGCATCCAAGGCTTGACTTGCTGTCACTGGAGAGAGAATGCTGGCTATAAACATGACTCAGATCTCCTGTCTGGAGCTCTTCATCTTGCAAGATTGTTTCCAAAAATCGACCAGATGATACTCGTACCATTCTACCTTGACTCTCTCCGAGTTCCACCTTCTCAAATGCCTCAGCACGAGACAAATCAAGGTATACTTTGGAACACTCAGATATATTTGTGCCTCCATTGAAATTCTCTGCCATACTGACAAGGTTGGACAGCTTCGGCTGTGATTCATGAGGGGAGTGCAGGAGTGCTGCATCTGACTGGGACCTCTGCAGGGCTTTGTAAGGGTCATTCTTACAGAAGACACCATCCTCTTCCTGAGAGAAACCTGAAGCTGAGTGTAGACGACGTATACTTTGACCATCAGTGGTGACAACATCATCATGTTGATCAGACTCTGGCTTGTCCACGGAGGCCATTGTGTATGCTATGTGAGGCCGTGTGTTGAACTTTACAACACCCCTACCACATGGATCACAGCCTGAAACACATTATCATGATAAAGTATAGAAAAGAACAAGAAAGGTGTTTACAATACATGCCAAAATAGAAGCAGCCACATCCTCACCTGTGCATGAATGTCCCAGAAACGTGTCATGGACCATTTTGACTTTACCATGTTTTCCAAATCTGTGGACAGTTGACCTCACCAATATATAGCTATATTAATGTTAGATCCCAAATGTTGTTTAATGCAGTCCAATGACTGATACTACCCACTGCCAGGTCTAGTGGACAGACCTTCTAGCCGGGGGGCGGAAGGTCAGTGATTCAATTACCTGTCCATTCCTACCAAAAGATGGGAATCCCATTAGGCTAGCACTATAAAACCAGTTTGGGAAAACACATGCCCAATGCAGTACAACTTTGAAGCAGAAAGTCTCTTGCCTCCAGCTACCTTAATAGAGTTTTTTAATTACCAACTTGTGGACTGTGTACAATAGAACAAAGGATTACCTCCTGGCATTTGTTAAACGTTTGGAGACAGAGGCCAATAGAGAATGTGACCATGTGAAACTATCACATGCTCTGAAGGGATTAATGGAATCAGATGAATTTGATAATCAAGCAAAGTCTGGTAGAAATAAACCAGAATCGTCATACAACTCAGTGTATTATGAAGTATCCCAAGTTGCCTTGAAGACATGTGAAGATAAAGAATGTCATGAAAGTATTTCGTAAACATTACAGAGACTGGATAAAGTTGAGAATGCTGATTTTCCATGTTTACTTTTTAATAGTCCAAGCTAATCTGGAGAGGAAAGACTTTGCTGCTTCATGGATTGTGCTCTTGATGTCCAGGGCATGGTCATTTGGCAAAATATTGTACAAAGAATGGTCAAGTACTTTCCAGCTTACACTGTCTTCCTGTGAACAGAATCATGAGAAACAAATTCTCTGCCTTACCTACCAGTGCTTGTTAGGTGATGTTCCACCCTATTTACATGACCTTCTCTAGGGGTGTTGTGGGTGTGTGTGTAAATTGCTTTATCATCCAAAACTGGCTCTCACAGGAGATATCACTTGGGTGAGATCAAGCGATATCTACACTGTAGATATCGCTGCAATGAAATTGCATCACAATGCTTTGCAGACCATTGTGACATCATTGGTTACCATGACGTCACAATCAAATGACATCACTAATGGCTCTGCTACTGAAGCTGTTAGCAGTACTTTTTACACTTAAGACACTGCTTATTACTGCCTACAACCTGAAAAAGTTGGAAGAATGGTGTTGGATGATAAATAAAATCTCACCCGAGTTACTTTTGATATCAAATATATCAACACTCGTTGATAAAAGTGGAAAAAATGCTCGGCAAGCCTCGGAGTTTTCCCACTTTTATCAACTCGTGTTGATAGATTTGATATCAAAAGTAACTTGGGTGAGATTCTCTATATGACAAAGTTATCATTTATAACTACAGACTTCTCCGACAGCTGTTTATTAGTTGTAAAGAATATATTATGAATATATGGCCATGATGGCCATTGCAATAACATTGCACTAGTCTGTCCCACTCCTCTTGTAGCACCTGACCAAATTCAGCCAACGTGGTCAGCAGCCCATGACGTGAACACACACGTCTTCCTATCATGTCCCAAACAGGTTTAAATGGGGGAAAGGCCTGGGCACTTCTGCTTCTAATCGTCTGACCTGTAACTTGTACTCCAGTTTGCAGCACTCTGATTCATGGTTTCGCCGCCTGGTGTCAGATCAATCAATCCTGTAGTCTTGTTGTTGACCCGGGACAACAAGAACGCGGTTGATCATCAAACTTTTGGTTGTTGGTACCCGTTCCATAGACTGCTAATCACTAATCGTGAAACATTGAACATATTGGCCCTGGCACACTGACTTCTGCCAGTTTCCAGCATGCCAATAGCCCATAGACGCTCCGCGCATTGTGACGGACAACAATAGGAACTATAGGGAGCTATATTCTTGTACAGCACAAGGTGGACTTGGGCACCCACATAATGACTGACTGTTGGACATCTTGGAAGAACTATTTGCTGGCCTTTGTTACACCCACACAAATGTTGATCTTTCTGAGAACTTTAAAAGTATGAACATTATGTGACAAATAAATAACCAGTAATGGGTGTAATTAATGTTAAATCTAATTGCTAAGTATGTGTAATTCTAATTTTATTTTCTATAATTTTACTGATCCATACCACTGATGCCTGCACCAACCTAATATAAAGTGGTGCATAATATGGTGAACTATTTCCACTCATAACCATGGTGACCTTGCTTCAAATTTTCTCGCCAAGTCTGATTGGAAGGCAAAGCAAACTTATTGTGAAAACATTATACGTTTTAAGTACCTTCACTCACTCAATGTCAAGCTGAACCTGTATCTAAGGGGCCTAACATGGTGCTGTCATAATCACAATTATTCACAATGTCCATTTGATGTGTTGATTGCGAGAATATTGTCAGAACAGATATTGTAAACACGTGATGAAGATGACAACTAGAATACCATGTAAATAAACCATATATACTGCTACATAAATCGTTCTTATCGTTATTAAAAACAGAGGTGCCGTTTTCGCCTGAGAAATCGGTGGCGATTGGCTGAGGTGCCGTTTTAGCCTGCACGCAGGTGAGAGGGTGGGGGGGGGGGGGGGGGGGCATTATATTACGTAATGACTATAATATGACAATGTCAATGTCAACATTCATAGTAATTCTATGTGGTATTGTACTAGGCTGCATCATGAATTGGTACAAATGTCACGTTGAATACAAATACACCACAATATTATCAACTCATACACCAATTACTCTCTTTCAAATCTGTTCGACAGTTACCTTTCAGAACTATTATAACATGAGCGATCCACCTTCTAAAGGCATCTAGTGTGTTTCTACTGCACTTCATACCCCATGTCCACAGGTTTGTTTATGTTCATATGGACCATACCATCAGGAATCAAAGGTAGTCAATACTCATCTTGAAATATTCTCATATTGGTAAACTACTGTTAACCACTGTCACTATGTCCAAAGAAAATAGGTAAAATTAAAAAATATTACCAATAAATTATTCTACCATAGAGTAACTGTCTTACGGTTTCCTAAAAATAATGACATAGGCGAACGCCCCCTTACTTAAGTAGTTTCTTCCGTTGGATTGTTACAAAAAGAAGACATGGTAGACATGACGAGGACAAGAATTAATGCCGCCATGATTATTTCAGTCGCTTAAAATAGATTTGGACAACATAATTACTTTGTATTAAAAATAGGTCTAATCATCATTTTCAATGCTTGACAAGGTAAATTAGTCATTGCATTCTCGCATCATTGTTCCCGTTTATCTTTTGGCTCAAATATAACATACAGGTACTACTTCCGGTTCAATGGTACTTGGCTCAACTTCGTGTTGAAATGGCTCAAGGGATGAAAAAGTTCGCACAATCAGCACACAAAAGCAAGAAACACCACAGACTACCTGTTCGGAAAACAGGACCAAAGAAAGGTTTATATGACATATGTGAAACCTATCTTTTGTAACGAGAGAACGCACTATACTCTCGTGTTATCGGTTTTCGCGTATAGACATTATCGCACATGGATATTTACCCATTTAAAGGGGCACTGATCTAAAGCAATTCGCCGGGACTGGTTGTTGCCTTTGTTATTGTTTTTTCCCCTGAGTCCCCGGATGATATAGCAGAAACCTAGACTAGTTCGCGACCTGTGCTGCGCAATTCGTAAGCGCATTTGTCACTTTGATTGATGGTATATAAGGGCGTATCGTCACATCTATCAACAAAATGAAATACAGTTTTGGAAATAATAAGGAAATGTAGTCTATCTTTGTGGGTAGCATTGGTTATGGTGACGAACTTTTGATAAGTCACTTGCTTGGTAATTGTGCGATTTTCGTTTACACTATTTTGACTTGCAACTCAAAGTAAATATTTCTCCTGAGCATTGCTTATTTTATCGTGTTTATATTTTTTACAGTCAAAATGTGCAAAATTTTCACTTAGGATATTTATTAAAAGCCTGAATATTCAATTAGTTTACAAATTGACTGAAAAATATGTCCATCTGTATTATTATGATAACGAATTCCAAACATTTTTATGTTTAATATCATAATCAAGAGACTGAAAATGTCACGATGAAAAGTACATTTCTATATTGATTGACTTCTGATCCTACATAAGAATCTATTGTGATGTTTATAGGGGCCGTTTTGATTGCTTAATCAGTTAAAGAAATGGACAGATTTTTCAGTCAAAATGACTGAAATATTTACACATTTTATAAATTGCCTGAGAGAATCACATTTTACAAATAGGCTGTAATATATACACGCTTACAAAGGAAAAGACTTGTGAAAACAACGTCTATCGCGCATCAAAGAATTTCCCAACCAAGACGTAAACCTAGACATGTAAACACTCACTTTTGACATATCCACTGTGAATAATCAATCAATGTATTTTCTGTTAATCCTTTGATGACTAGGAACGATCCGTTGATTTACAAAAAAGTAAATCAACTGATCATTCATCTCTTGCTGGGTTGCCACGTGCATATTACATAACACACATTTCACCTCACTTGAAACCTGGATTTAGATTGAATAATTACCCCAGACACAATAAATGCCAAATGGGAACCTTTGTCAGGTATTCTGAGCGGTGCTACCCATAATTATACCTCTAATAAATTCATTAATTGAGCATCAAGTGAATGACGACAAATACACACAAGTGTAGGGTTATACCAGAAAACATGGATGACAACAAGGGAGTAGTAATCGTATTATCAACGCAATCCGAAATCCGAAAATGCTTTCACTGCATGGATACTGTTTTAGTATTAAACTATAACAATCATATAACTATTTCCAAATGACGACATTCGATGATCTTGTCTGTTTGTTTAAGCTGAAGAAATTAATTAACATGCACCCTTTGTCGAAATTTTTATAGATCACGGTTAACCAATCAGTGTTCAAAAATGAGTAAAACAATTATTGCCTCCAAGTTTATTCAGCTGTCCTTGCAGACGGTAGCCCAGTCTCTTGTCACGCTCAGTTGCGTTGCGTATCATCCGGGTACTCACGGGGAAAAAACAATAACAAAGGCAACCACCAGTCCCGGGGAATTGCTTCAGATCAGTGCCCCTTTAAAGTAGGATATTTGGCAACAATGCAGTTTACCGGATGTTTCATTTTATTTAGCGGTAATTAGCTCTAATTATTTAATGTCAGCTCGCTACAGTCAAAATACGAAATGAGCGGGTTTCTGGTCTCTTATTTGTATATCAACTTTTCAGTCACAAACTCATGGCACTGGCAATAATTATAAAAAAATCTCAGCAAAATACGAGGGTAATCGGCCACCATAGTTTGAATAGGATTTTTGAAGGGGGTGTTCTCGGCCGTGATGTAGGGTCATGTCTTGTGACTGTAGGACCTCATTGCGTCTGTCTTCTACACTTTATGAGTTTATAATCCTTAGGGTTAGTAGTGAGGTAGGGTATGGGCCAGCTATCTCTTTTAAGTAAATCTCATATAATTTAAGTCTGAATTTTTTATATCAAGTTTTCAATTTTGCAGAGAAAATGACTACTGTGCATGTGCATTAGGGTAAACAAATCTTGTGCCGATGACTTGATAAACAAGCACTAATGATAAGTGATAGGTCCAGCGGTAAGGTGTTGGCTTAATTAGCTTAGCTTCAAGCTGCCGAAATGTGTTCAGTCCTCCGCGTGGCCATAATTGAAATCTCCAAAAAGTGCACCCAGTAAAATCCACTGCTCCTGGATGTTTCACCACACAAAACGTTTTTCAGGATATCTTTTCAGAATGTGTTTTTATGACATTTACCACTAATTATAAGAGGATAAAGAAAGAAATATGGACTACCATGTTGTCTGACTGTAGATATGATTTGTGATCTTAACAATCACTGGGTGATGCTGACGGATATCATCAGCTTTCGCAAGATATACCAAAGCGTCAGGGAAAGGACAGTCCCAACAGGCCCGGAAACTCCGTCGCCACAAAATGTCTGACACCTCCGAGCCTGCCTCCACATGTACGGCCCGTCTCCACTTTTATGATAGCTGCATCCACTCCTGTCTACCGCCTCCATCATGGCCTCTTTAGAAGCACCGATGTCCACCCCCTCGCCTCTGTTATAATGACACCAGGCGTGGCGCCTACCAACCTGAGTGCATCTGTCCCACAAATATACCAGCTATCCTGGTGCCTCTACAGTTCCTTCAACCTTATCTCACGGTTCTACCTTACCAGGCGCCCTTTCTCAACACTTCTTTCGGGGTTAGGCATTGACAAAAAGGACACATACTGGTCAGATCCTACATCCATCCCACCTGATCCTATCATCAAAGACATGGTCGCCGGCCTACATGAGGACTTCACTAAGCTCTCTCTTACACCCTCATTCAAGGCACCAATGTATCCGAAGACGGACTTCCCTATCCACTCACTAGACCTTGCGGATCATGCCCAGTATCTAGATTAACACCTCCATCGCATGACAGGGTTGAACCATTCCACCACCATTTGCGTCTCCGACACCAAGTTGGCGTATGTGGAGACTGAACTTTGGCGCTTCTTAAAACCGTTCTCTGTCATGGCTTCCACCTCCAGAGTATTCATACAGGACCTCTTGGAGGATAATCCTAACCGCCTTGGACTCCCTGTCGTTCCCATTGTCGAGACCCCTATAGGTGGGAGATTCGGGGGATACTGGCAAAAAACTCCATCGTTGACATGCTGCTGGCCAAAGAGGCCATTGAGATTATCCACTCCCCAGCCTTAACACCAGGCTTCTATTCGCCAATATCCCTTGTCCCCAAGAAGGGCTCGGACCAATTCCGCATGATACACAATTTGGCCACATTCAACAAGCGCTACCTGGTACATCCACCGTACTTCCGGATGACCACACTCAGGCTGCTCAGGTCCAAGTTACAGGCTCACGACTTACTGATCAGCCTGGATATCAAGGACGCTTACTTACATACTGTCAATGGGCGGTGTTCCTGTTTGGAATTTCCTCGCCCCTGAGGCTATTTACTCGCATGGCCAAGCTTCCTACCTCCACCTGAGGAATGTGCTGTTATATAGAAGACTTCTGAACCACCAGGACCACCATGGCGCTTCATAGCACCTGCTTCTGGCGATCAGACACCGCGTCTTCGCCAGCTTCTACCTGCGACATGTTGCCTTAGAAGATGTGGAAGTGTACGCAGCTTTGGCCCTTTTGGTGATTGCCCAAAAGGTCACCACAACAAGACGCCACTGACGTTTCCACATGTCATGAACCGGCTTTGCAACCTCTTTGGTGCGTGTCCACCCAGATTAGTAGGCTACATGCATTAGGTTCGTTACGTCAGTTCTAGACTTTAACTTCATTTAACTTCTATTGCTGCATTGATACCTGGACTTCACAGATACCTAACTCTCTCCCTCCCTAGCAACAGGAATGGTCACTCGATGCCGGACATCGCCTTTGCTGATTGGCTGGAGCTTTTTGGAGAACTTTATTGAAGATCACTTCTGAAGGTATGCCCTCCAACGTTCTGTGGGATAAAGATGCATTAAGGAGTAATGCAGGATAAGTTAAAAAATCTTGCAAAATTCAAGATTTGTTTTATATTTGTATACTTATCCTGCATTACTACGTCTTAAGTGATCCGCCCATCGCAGAGCTGCCTCCCCACAATGCCTTCAGATGATCCGGTCTAGCAGTAATGTGATGACACGTGGCATCACCTGCTCCATGGTCACATGGGAGCTGTGTCATAGGGTTAGCCACTCAGCTAGTGAAGCAACTGCTTCTTCAGCAAGACATCACACAGCTCTTTCTCTCTGTCAAGAACAAGCAGTAAATGCATTCAGGAGTAAAGCAGGATAAGTAAATATCTAGGCTTCTAATAGGTTTGTCAACTGAAATAAAACTGTGATATAAATTATATGTTGTCTGTTTCATATCATCTTTATATTCAATGTGTGTCAGTTAGTGGTATTGTCCAAGTGTGGAAATGTCAGTGTGGGGAACTGTCCCTCACTCCCTCCCGAATAGAGGTTTGAACTAACCTCCCAAACTTTAGTGTCATCAGGACCCAATGAGGCCACGGGTGCTGTCATAAATAATCAGTGCTCAGCACACGATTGTCTAACTTATGAACTTCTGCAGTAGCCATTTTTTTCTGCAAAACTTTTACCATGGATGAAAATTGTACAGATTTTCCTCAGATTACATTGGATTAATTTATGAAAAGAGATGAGATAGCTGACCCTTACTCTAACTCACAGCTAACCCTGAGCATTGTAAAGGTGTTTTTTCAGAAATGGATAGCTAACCATAATGATAGAAAGAGGGATCCAAAGTCTCAGGATAGAGTTGGGGGTAACTTAACCCACCTAACCCACCTAACCCTAAGACACACGAAATCAGTGAAGTGAGAGCTGCAGTCGGAGCCTGT